CACACACACACACACACACACACACACACACACACACACACACACACGGGAGGGGGAAAGGAGGAGCACTAGGATAGAATGCTGAAATCAGGAAGACCTGAGTTCAAATGTTGCCTCAGACACTTCCTAACTGTACAACCCTGGTCAAGTCACTTTAACCTCTGTTTGCCTCAGGCCCCTCAACACTAAATGGGGATCATAATAGCACCTTCATCACAGGGTTGTTGTAAGGATCAAATGAGATACTATTTGCAAAGTACTTAGCACGGTGCCTGCTGTATAATAGGTACTTAATAATGGCTTGTTTCCTTCTTTTCCATAAACACATAACCCCCACCCCACTTCCTCCCCCCTCCCCACACACTCTCTTTTTTCAATCTATGGTTTTACAATTTATAATGATTCTACTAAAAGGAGAGAGAGACAGAGGAGGTAAGAAGAAATAGGGAGACAAAACATACACAGCAAAAGAAAAAAAAAACACCAAACAAACCACAAAGTATGCCTCAAATTTTATATGTTCCTCAGTTTCTAATTTCATGTGGCTTATAATAGACACAATGACCTTCTGTTACCATCATCTGTGTTTATTGCTCAAGTTGAGACTCCAATTCCCAACTTAAGAAGCTAGGTGTGAAGACTATCTAACATTTTAATGACAACCCAATTGGCCCTGGCTGTTCCAGTAATTAAATGGGGGGTATGTTTTGTTAAATGTTTTCCCTGTCTTTTCCTCAAAATAAGGAACCAAATGTATTGAAAAATATTTTTGCATAATTATAACCCAGTAAGCAACCTTTGTGAATTAATAGATAAGCAAGTGCTGCCCAGCAGGTGGCTTTTCAGCCAGCAAGAGCTAAGCTTTGTAAACAGGCCCTGATTCTCCAAATCCTAAATGGCTCAGGTCTTTTGCTCTGAGAGCTGGAGAGAGGTTTCCAAACTGCCACCTTTAAACTGAAATGCTCATACGGCTACTTTAGCAGTAGATTTCCAGACAAATAGAAAGCACACTCCCTTGTCCAGAAAGAAGTTTGGTCCTCCTCTCCCAGATCCCTACATTTTTTTCTGCCCCAGCTAATCGAAGACTCTATCCCTTATCCTTAGGCCATCCAGGTAGGTTGGTCTTGATACTCATAACTGTGCCCCCTCCTTTGGATCCATGGGCATCTTTGGGCCAGGGTCTAAGACCCCTGCCCATAACTTTAAGTGCTCACTCCCTGCAGGTCCTCTAGAGAGTGAAACAGGAGCAGAAGCAGCAATAGAGCCCCAAGTTCTCCATCCATCAAAGTACTTAACATGATTTGCAAAGGTAAGGATGCTCATGAAGCCTGTCCCAACAAGCAGAGTCCCAGGGGTACCCAGTGGTTTCAGTTCCCAAAAAGATGCAGGGGTCATGGGAGAGCATCGAACCTTGCCTACCTTGCTTTCCCATTTTCTTGCCTTTTATAGTATCCTTCCTCATTTATCTTGTCTCATCCACTGGTGCCCAGTGAGGAACCTGAAGTCTATAAAACTCGAGCAAGCTCCTTGCTGTGGAATTCTTTAGTGTGTGATTCAATGCCATAAGAATCCTTGAGGTGCACCTGCTAGGTCCCTAACCTATCTGGTCCTTTTTTGATGCACCCCCTCTCTGCCTGTGTTTTTGAGGATCGTTGTTATTGGGCACAAAATTGGAACCTATTAAGCCGTAAAGGACTGAATTGAAGCCCTCACAGGTAGAACATATCTAGCCTGTCCTTGCAGATTCCTAGGTCTCCCTCAGTGTTATACCTATGCTCACTCATGTTCAACAATTCCCATGGATAAGATGGTGTCATATTTAAAGCCTTCTGCCTGAGATCTCAGCCAGTTTCCATTTGCTTTCTCTTTAGTAAATAGGAGAATCTAGTCACAAAACTCTACCGAACAGCCTACCTGAAAATGGCCTATTTGTTTAAATTCATCTGTATTCCTCAGAGCACTAAAAGTATCCAAAGATCTGAAGCTTTTTTAAAAAAGAGTGTGTGTGTGTGTGTGTGTGTGTATGTATGTAGATATGTATGTATGTATGTATGTATGTGCAGGATCAGCCCCTCATCCTTGGGGATAATATGAGGACAGAACCATCAAGGCCTTAGAAATTAAGCTTGACTATGTTCAGTAAACTGGCCAATCCCATCCCTCCATCCTGTGCTGACCAATCACTGTTTGATTCGTCCATAAAAGGACCTTTCTTATTCCAATTGCAGTCATATTTTTTTAACCTCTTCCTTAACTTCTCAATACTGTCCACTTCTTTGTTGCATCTAAGCTGTATGGTTATTTGTTTAATGATTTTTGAAATGAGAATCTTAAACTTAATAGATTATGTTAATTTTGAGGCAGCATTCATTCTCCTAAATAGAATGGTGGTTGCAGGACACTTATTTCAATGGAGACAGTGCCATGTTTGTTTTTCCTCCATGAGGCAAAGTACATTTTAAAATTTTATTTCTTATAACTAACTTTGAGACACTCCTTATCGTCTCATTCTGAATGTGAGGGAG